GGGGGGGGGGGGGGTCCACATTAACAAAATAGGAAAATACTCTGCACCATCAGTTTAATATCTCTTTCTACATTTTTCAGCAGAAAATTACCAAGACAAACTAGGGGTTGGAAGAGAATAGCAATGTAACCTTATGATATACCTGAGCTGAGCCACCATGCTTCTGAACTTTATCATAAAGCTGGAACAGTCGTCCTGTAAAATCATCCACTTGGATTGTGTTCTTCAAGGATTCTCTCAAGAAATCATCATCATGGGCAACCTGTTACATTGCATCAAATGAATTTATTTTAAAGTAAAATTACTTTGAAGACGTTTATTAAATACTAGGTTGGGCAGTGGGCACCCAACGCTGCACAGGTTACTAATAGTTACTCACGCCGTTTACCTGCACTTGGTTGTAAATAACGCTTTTAACTATTTTTCCTCATAAAAGTCGCCCTTCTCAACTTAAAATCTCAAAACCTCAAAGTTTGAGGCAAATCGGTCTAGGGGTTCCTGTGTAATGATCGTACAAACAAACAGACAAACAGAGATTACAACTTTATATACATAGATTCAAAAAGATATATTGTAAAATGTTTCAGTTTTGTACTTAAGATGTAATTTCAAGTAACCCTGCATTTACAGTGCTAGTAATATTACCAATTCACAACATTGAACCTTTGTATGATCAAGGATGAATGATATATATATATATATATCTTTTCCTTCGGAATCTTGAATATTCTTTAATATTTTTTTTATAAGACTTGCGGATTTAAGCTAGTGACAATAGAGGAAAGAAAAATGAACATTAAAGTTTTAAGGGGCTCCATTGTGAAGCTGTTATGCCACTCTCAAGATTGAGAGACAGTTAAAATAATGACTTCAGTTCATGAAGAAGAAACAAAAATAATACCACAAAAAAAATATTAAATTCTCTCACATTAAGTATCAAGTATTAAGAAAGAAATCTGTAAAGGACATATTTCATATACGCACAAAGAACATGCAAAGTTCTCTGTGCTCAACTTTCAAACGAAATTAGAAATTAAAAAAAAAATACCAATTTAGAGAATTACTTACTTTGTGCATAAGCTCATTGAGAATTGTTTGTATTTCGATGGCCTTATTAAATTCCTTTCTCGGGAAAGGAGAAGGGAAGAGAACAAAGGGTGCAAAGTGGAGAGCATCTGTATCAAAAGCATCCTTTCTTCGCATACAGATCCCTTAAAAATTATTTCTTATATATTTTTTAAAAAAAATCTATTTTTATTCAAAATTTAAAAATTTAAATCTCCATTAAAAAAAGCAAAATTCAAATCTCCATAAAAAAATTAAACTCCACCTTTAACAAATGAAAAGCTGAAATAATTACCATGCATGAGGGCGTAGGTTTTAGCTTTGTCCACCAGGTCATCAAGCCGGTCAGCTGACATCTCCAGGGGTACACATGGATACAGATCCGTCTCACCCATTTTTTCTAATTTTACAGAGTTGAGATATAGAACTGAGAGGATAGGAGTAGTTTGCAGAGGTGTATTCATGGGGGGGCTATGGGGGCTCAGCCTCCCTTTATCTGTGAAATCGATGATTTCCAGGGGGCCCAACAGGTGCTGAGCCTCCCTCCCCTGGACAGAAATTAAAATGTAAGCACCCGCCCCTCTACAAATTCCTGAATACGCCCCTGGTTGTTTACATTCGACTGTGACGTAGGACTTCTCGAGAACTAGTTTTATTGTAAACAGACAACATTTAGTAAACACTATTTTTACAAAGACACGACTCCAAATAATAAATTGGGTAAAGGATTTTTGAACATTATCTAAATCTAATTCCTATTCCTGAAAAAAATCAATTACAAATATAAATTGCATATCAAAAAATAGTTAAAATCTCGTGATTATTGATAAGAGGACTGATCCACAATTTATAAACTTGAATAAAAACTGATGAAATTTCCCATCAATGAGGGAGTTTCTGATAGATAACAATAAATTCTGGGTTTACACTTCACAACCAAGAATTGTCAGCTGATTTTTTATAGCTTTCTAATAAGCTTTCTTCTGCAAGTTTTGCTTATAAAAATAAGGTTGCAAGAGGGAGGGGGGGCCATGCGGCCATGAACCCCGCAATTGCCTGTTCGAACACAGGTAGTTTGCAGAACCCTGTTCGACCCCCGCAGAAGCCTGTTCCAACCCCGCGAAAGCCTGTTCCAACCCCGCCAAAGACTGCTCTTGTTCAAACTTTTTTTTTAAATTGCATAGATCTAATAAACACTAAATAAAATTTAAAAAATCTCAACGTCCGGGAGCAGAAGAGATATTTAATAATCATTGGAATTTATTAGAATTCATCTAGAGATAGTCAATTTCGAGAATTTTGTCTTGGCGCTGGAGTTACACAAAGTGCCAAGGAATAATCGGCTCCCCCCCCCCTCCTATATATGAGTATAATTATATAATAGTGTGTATCATGGAAAGTGTATTGAGTATACATGCATTACGATGCTGGTTAGTAGGGCGATCATTATTATAGGAGGGGAGGTAAGGGGAGGGGGGAGGGTTGTTAGAAAAGGGGGAGGAAGGATTAAAGGGGAGGGGGACTATAGAAGGGTGGCCGATACTATTGAGCTCATATTATGGGGCGGAGTAGAGGGTTGGGGGGGGGGGCAGGTTAAAGGAAATAAGGTTGAGGGAAGAGTTGGGGTGAGATGTAGATTGAAGATAGATAGATAAATATTAAGATNTGCTGGCATCTACTCAAAACCCTTTTAACAGAAAAATAACTTATATTTACTTAACATTTTAGCAAGAGAAACAAAATTTTCCTTTAAAAGGTCTCCTATTATGTGTTTTATAACTTAGTAACTTTTAATAATGGGATAAGGAAAAAAATAACGAAGACGACTTTTACAGATTCAAAAGAACTCATAAAACCAAATTTTGTACGGGGTGTTCAGTTCTTCATAATTAAAATAAATTTCGTGGTTGATGGTGCACCATTTACCACTGTCCAATTCTCGGGACTGTCCTAGTGAACGATTTTTGGACTTTGTACTTTTGGATTTTGTATTTCATATTTATATTTGAAGCTTTATAAACATGATTTATATAGATGATAGGATATTCTATAAGTTAATAACAAACAATTAACTGAACAACAGGATAATCAAAAAACAAAAGAGAATTGGGTATATTCCTAGAGAACGATTTTTGGACCCCCCCCCCCCTCCTATCAATTTTGTACATGACCATTTATTTTTCAGCAAATTTATT